TATTAATAGTTTTAATGATTTCTACATTGTCAGTCCTTTTTTCTAATCTGTTGTCAAACATGTACAGTAATGGGAAATCCAGACTCTCGACCGTTATGTGTTAGCCATTAGCTTCTCCAGCCGATCACACGGTCACGTGGTTTCTGCGCTCTCCAGCTGTTCTATAGAACCTCCTTGGTTGAACCTCAGACAGAAACTGGTACACTCTATAGATAAAACCCACAAACACAAATGTGGTGTGGTGGTGCACATAGTTCAGTGCAGCTGAAGGTTTTCAGACCCCAAGGGAAACTCTCCACCGATGAATGGTACAAGACAGGAGACCAAAACTCAGCTGTCAAACTACATCTAAGGGATAATGACATTAACAATCCCATTCTGGACAAAGAAGAGTTTGAGAGGAGGGTGAAGAAAGCCAATTTATGAAAAACAAGAAACATTAAACGAGGTTTCAAGTTTTGCAGCTTTATGCATGTGACCAAAACATCTCGTCTGCAGACCAGGTCAGCAAAAACTTTTATAACCCTCATGAGGAGAGGAGGTAAAGTGATTTGTATGTGAACAGAAACGCGCTACACTTTCAAAGTTTAGAACTCTGCATTTTTTTAAAAAAAAATTTTTTTAGTTGAACTGAGAAAACTCAGAATGAAAAACCTAAAAACAGAAAAAGAAGTAAAATCAACTTAAACATTTTCTTAGGATTGTTAAGTCTTAGATAACTGAGAATCTACACCAACATTCCTGTTTTGGTGTCACAACTGATCATTAGTTACAGTTTGGAGCCGTCTTTTCACAACAAATAGCACATCTTATCTTAACAAAATGCATATTTTCTTGAAGAATCCTACTTGAACTAGCACAGCTGACAAAGTCTTGGATGAAGGTGGAGATGAAAGAGTGAGCAGAACTGTAGGTGTCTCAGGAGACGCAGTGCTAGCCTGAGGGCGGATGGTGTAACACTAAAGCCCAAACACGACCCGCTATTCAGTTAACCTTTAGGGAAATAGTGTGACTGACTCCATTGATTTCTGCTGCTTCACAGCTTGAGCTTATAGGGGGGGGATGTCTAAAAGCAAGTGAGTTTAGATGAGAATGAACACACATACCAGTCGAGCAGAGATTGACTTACAAACATGCCAAAACTTAACTTTTGTTATCAGAAAAGTTTAGAAGTACAAACGGTTCTGTTTTCCTGCTGATGCAACTGAATTATGTTTGGAAACAGATCAAAGTTATCACGAGCGGTTGAAGTGAAATTCCCCGTCTGTTCGCTCCCCTTTGAATTCTTCTCGACTAAAAAAAAATGTCTGCAGGTGTGCTGGTTTTCACGTGCAGCGTTTTTTTTACATTTGTGTGCTGGAATGCAAGCAACATCGGGCAGCCTGATCGATCTGGACGCGGCACCTATTGGAGCCACGCTCTGGTCGTACACTGTGAAACACAATGTGGCCTTTGGAAAGGACAATGGGACTTTTAATGAAAAGTGTGCATGACTCAGTGAGATGGTTAACCGCAGACAGGCACGGGCCGGGCACAGTGACTGTGYAAACACTCAGAACAGACACACGTGCAGACCTTGTGGGCAGTTGGCCACGTAGACGCACAGAAGCTCCAGCACCGCTTCCATGGTGGGGTCGTCCAATAAGAGCCAAGGCCAGAGAGCGTGAAGCGTCAGCGTCAGACGAGCATCCGCAGCAACTACCTACACACGCAAATAAATACGTTTAAACATTTGTACTTCCAGAGAAAAAAAAACTCTAATTCAGATTAATAATTCAAACTCAAAGGCACAATAGTTGTAACTAAAAGATAAACACACACAGGGGCAGAATATGACAAGTTAAACACTCCAGGCTGTTTCAGTTCAGTTTAACCACTAAACTGGCTGTACAGGCCCTGTCACCCTATAACTTTTCAGACAATTTATTAATTTTCTAAACTATTAAATTGCTAATAAAAGTTATGTATTTGATCAATTGGTTAGCATTACAGCACATGTCAAACACAAGGCCCGCGGGCCAAATGTGGCCCGTGGGTGGCTCCCGTCTGGCCTGCCAAAAACAAAAAACTTTTTTTTTATTTAATGTAAAAAATTGTTTCTTATATCAATGGTAAACTTTAAATTTATGATTATGAAGAAATTGGTTAGTCATGTTAGATACTGATTTTAAAAGCACTACACCATTTTCTTAGTTTTCCTTTTTTTAAGTATTGACTTTTATAATCCATTGTTTAACTATTATGTCTTGATTAAAATGGTTTAGATACATGCCCGAAACACCATCACAACACATAAAAAAACGTTAATCAAACATAAGAACAGGTTTGTTATCTGAGTGTCTGCAATTCAGCCGTAGGCCAGTAGTGGGCGTACCAAGCACTGAAGAACATGCATATATGCCGGAACTTCCGGTTTTCATTCAGCGTGGGTTTCATGACTGACGGATCAGCATTAAACCTCCGTTCATTCCAGTCACTGGTGTTGGATGGTCCTCATTCTCTCASATTTAAATCTATTCAACATTTTTGTGGTTTTGTCTTGATTTCAGCTAATGAACACTAAATTTTCTTACAATGAAATGCAACAGAATAAGTTTAAAAGGTGAAAGATAATAATACTTGTCTTGCTATTCAACATTTTTGTGGTTTTGTCTTGATTTCAGCTAATGAACACTAAATTTTCTTACAATGAAATGCAACAGAATAAGTTTAAAAGGTGAAAGATAATAATACTTGTCTTGCCCCTGAGCTGCTGGCTCAACTGAGCAATTTAAATGGTAAATGGTAAACGGACTGTCCTTGTATAGCACCTTTCTACCGAACCAGAATGCTCATTTACCCATTCTCACAGCACTCTACTAAGTCTCTATAAAGCTAACATATACACTCAATCTACAGAGACTAATCAGTGCTTTAAATCACATTCATACACTGTTGGACACACATCGGAGGCATTAGGGGTGAAGTGTCTTCCTCAACGACACAACAACTGACAGCGGGAATGAGGGATCGAACCGGCAACCTACCAGTTCCAGGACGACTCCCCTAACCACTCTGTAACAGCCCCCCAAATTAATTATTTAGCTGGATAGCAGAGTAATAATGTCTTAAAATAAGCTGCTTTAAAGCCAGCATTGACCATAAACTACATCTCCCATAATGCATATCGATCATCCATGGGAMGTTCCTGTCAGAAAGTGGGAGAGTTCAGAATACAAGATGACAGCCACTCACTACAWCTCATCAGTGAGTAAAAGACTCTTAGTTTTACTTTTAATAATGTTTCTGTATTATTTATTTCACATTTAGTCACTTAGTACTTCTCAGTGTTTATAAGAGGAACGTTAAAACACTGTTTAGTCAAAGTTAACTTTGTGGGCCACCATAACGCTCATGTGGCCCTCAGTGAAAATACGTTTGACACCCCTGTATTACAGTATGTACACACCTAAAAAAAGCTTCCAATTGAGTTTTTTAAATTCCATCTTCAACATACATGTCTTTAAAATTTTCATAATTTGGCAWAAGTCGTCTAAAATGTTATAGTGTGACAGGACCTTTAAGCTACTGACTGTAAGGATACTAAGAAAAATGACTTTAAAGGATTTCTAAACGAGAATAAAGAAGCTATGATGTTAGCGGGACCTTGCACCTTTACTGTAGGTGAATCTCATTTAGAGAGGTTCCACAAAAAACCAATTAGCTGTGGGGAATAAAAAGGCAGGCACAGAAGCTCACTTTGCATTCATCGTTGCAATAAAGAGCGCTCCTCAGGATCTCCACAGTCAGCTTGACTTCCTTTAAATAGCCGCCGTCCTGATGGTGTGGGGGAAAACAAAACGAAAAAATCAACACGTTTAACAGTCCTGAACCAAAACCAACCTTTACTGCCCTCATTAAGCACTTGACAAGAGGAGTAAGAGAGCTTTCTGCTGAGTAGAACAATGCATATTCATAATATTTATTCCACAGCTCTTTCATGTCGGTCGGTTTGTTATTCCGTCCTGCTGAGAGAGACGCACACAGGCGGCTGAAAAGTGCTGAGATTTGAACATTTAGCTTCACCTTTTTGCGGTGAGAAGCCCTGTCGGGTCGGACCGACTCCAGGTGGAGCTGCGAATGGGTCTGCCTCAGCTGCTCCACGCAGCTGTCGATTAAACCGGCTGGAACAAYGAACAGAAGCAAAGCGAGTGAAAAAGATGCAGGTTTTATTTTACTACCACAGCTGATAAAAAAACCCCAGCTCTTAACAATAATGACTGATCGAAGGGGATCAAAGATGACCTTTGGCTGCGTAGTTCTGAGCGGTGGGACTGCAGGTGAGCAGCGCCATCAGAGCTCTAGCTGTGAGCTTCTTTAAAGGGTCCTGGAGGGTCCTCTTCTCGAAGCTCTGTCAACAACAGTCATAAACATCTGTCGTGAGAACACGGTTTGAATCAATAACATTTAACGTGCTTTTTCTTTTAAACTGACAGCTGATGTCTGAGAATACTCGTGTATCTGTAACTTTCCCAGCTACCTGCAGTATGAGCTCACACAGCTGGCTGGCAGAGGACCCATTAAGGGTATCTGACAGGTCCGTGCAGTGTTTGGATGCTGAGCTCGTGACCTCTTTGTTGCGACACTTTGTCTCCTCTGTGAAAACTGTAGAGAGGAACTGCAGAGCGGCCGTGTAGAGAAGAGAGTCTGCACACTTCTCATTCAAACACGCTGAAATTGTTCCTGCAAACATAAATGGCGGGGGTGAAAAAAGTAAAAATAAAAAGTTTGGTAGGAGAATAGATTTTATGTTAATGAATGGCACTGAAATACACTCTGAATCACAGCGAGACTAAATAGGAAATCCATAGTTTAAACCCCTCGACAGCTTGATATTTGTCTATGACTGAGGTGGAGGATGCACTAATCATTCGAGTCTGTCTGCAGACACCTGGTTACCATAAACATGTCTGTGCTGACAAAAATACACACTCAAAGGCTTGACATTCATCTTTTACTGGACTCATTAAACTTTGCTGCAGCATCATTAATCAGAGAGGAGGATATGAGGAGGAGGAGGAGAGGTAGTTTAATTATCCTGTCCTCGCATCAGTTAAAGAAAGTTTACACAAACAGAAATGATGCAAATAGAATGTTAATGGTTGCTTTACTTCTCAGGAAGGACTGAAGTTGCACAATTATACTTAAAATGCTAATTCTTGGGAGTTAGCAACTGCTAGCATCACCTCTTTACAGTGATGGTTCTGATTGTTTGGTTACAATCAGAATTATTTGTGGAAACGTTCTGAACGATTAACATCTTACCTGTTGTGGGCAGCTCTTCAAACAACTTTAGTTTGGAAAAAATAGAATTTAGTTCTCAGGGCTCTAGAGTGCGACTAATTTGGTGGCAAATGCGACCCATTTTTAAAAAAATATCTCCAGTTGCACTGGTGCGACCAGTCGTTCGAGGAGGAGGCAGAGAGGCTGCCCACCGAAAAGTAATAAATCGATCTAGCAATATCAACATGGCGCTCCGCTCTACACCCCACACACACATACACGTTTCTTCTTCTACCCTCATGGGGWCTTTGCATTAAATTAACCTCACACCTGACCCAAAACCTAACCTCACCAGGCTGTGTGTACCGGGAAACTGTAGCAAAAACATGCACACGCACGCCCCATGTAGCGAAACAATCGTTTATTTATTTCGAACCAGAATATGAAAAACCTTTTTTTTTTAACTTTGGAGATGAAATGTGGACGGTTTCTTGCTCTTAAGTTCATTTTGCAGTCAGATTCTGCTCTGGGAGAGCAGCAGATCATTTCAGCAGCATGAAGAAGCTTATGCGTACGGCAGGCCACTTTTACATATTCAGCCTGCAACAGAAAATGTGGATGAAGGACAACAGAGCTGCTTCATGGAAGAAGAACCTCAGCTTAGCMTGTTAGCTTTAGCATTAACACTGACGCTATATTGCCTTATGTATTAGCTCGGTGCTAGCGCGACAAACAAGCTAAACTTAGGTCCTCCATCCATATTTTCAGTTGCAGGCCGAGTCATTTTTGCATTTCCTTCTCTATCATGTGGATGAAGGACCTCAGTGATGAGAGGAGAATGTGTACCGCTGAGCTAATACATATATATGGTGATAGCGTCGGGGCTAATGCTAAAGCTAACAGGCTAAGCTGAGGTTCTTCTTCCATGAAGCAGCTCTGTTGTCCTCCATCTATATTTTCAGTTACAGGCTGAGTCATTTCTACGTTCTCCTCTCTGTCAACGCTCTCTGGTTTTATTTAAAAGAGTCGATCATCAGATATTGTCCAAGATTAAACTTCAGGGTGGATATAGCTCGCTAGCAGCCTCGTACCGATGACCTATCCACGTCATCATTTACCCAGAATGCTTTGCAAGTAAATAAAATGGCCCCGTCCGTGTAATATATTTTTTAAAATTATGTTTAAAAATTATAAAAACTAAATACCCTAGAGTGTATTTTTACAGTCTTTGTTTTACAGTAAAAATAAATGTTTATCAAATAAAGTCTAATGTTACAACTAATCGTGGATCCCTTTAAATACCTTCAGTAAGTTATAGGTCTTGTACAATTATGGTTCAAATAAAGACGTTTTATTTTTTACTAGATTAACTAATTATTTGCGAGTTAATATTGCCTTAATGTTCAGTGATTAAAAAAAGTTAGGCACACCAGCGCAACCACTGCAAAAATTTAGTCTCGAGCCCTGATTCTGACCTGACTGACGAGCTGACGGCTGGTCTGAATGGAGCCTAGATGAAAGTGGGCCGCTGCCGTCTAAAACTGCTTCAGTTTTAAGTGATTTTGTAAAATTCAATGCAAATATTACTATTATAAACCTTAAGATTACCAAAGGTTTTGCACTACTTATTCTGGCAGATCTAATACCGACTAATACCAGACTAATTACCTTTATCACTTTCACCTCCTTTCAGTATCTGTACCTGCAAATGTCCGCCAGCGTCTCCCCAACACGGCAGAGACAGATGGGTGCGCTGCTGAGCTGTCTCTCTTCAGCAGAGTAGCCAGGAGCGTAAACACGTCTGTCCAGCTCACACGAACCACGTCCTGGGTACCTGCGTCTGAGGAGGGAAAGGGTGACTCACAGTTTTTATGACCACAGACTGCACTGTGGGGCAAAACACTGCACAGGAGAATGAAGCAGATGGCTCAATGGAATTTGGATGAGAGGCTTTCCTAAAAAGGTCAAGATTGATGTGCACAGTATAATATTTTATTATTACCATTATTGCAACTAGATTTTTTTTTTACTAACTCTATTTTATAAAAACCAAACTGAGTCTGACCTAATCCATTAGTATCCAGCATGAGAACAGCCAAGAGATTAGACAGCAGCTGTTTCAGGAAGTCCATCTGTCCAATCAGCTCTTTGTTYGCCATGATACAAGACTGCAGTAGTTTGGAAAAGCTGGACAAGAACTGAAGTGCAGTGACGAGCTAAAAAAAGAAAAAACACACACATAGATGCAGATTTAACAACAAATCCGAGAAAAACAAAACATGCTGCACTGTCAATGCTGACGAAAAGAACAAAAAAAAGTGACAAAGCCAGAAAACAAACCCCAATTGTGTGCTTAGAGCACAAACTTGTTAAGTATTCCACCCACAACAAAAAAATCTGGAGGTGCCCTTAGATAACCTGTTCTGAAACGAGCACTGTGTTCCAACCCACGGATTTTATGCTGGATCATAATAACGCAACAACTAAATAAAACTAAATTAAATATATTCCTCAAAACTCTGTTTCCCTCAGTGTTCTTCACCTGAGTCTTTATGTCTTCCTTCTCCCCAGGAAGGATGTTGGGTGTTCTCAGCTCAGTCAGACATTTCTCAATAGGCCCAATATTTACAAGACTGAAAGGGAAAACACACATAATGGAAGAACAGAGCAAATGAGTAACATATTTATTCTTTTCTGCTTGTAGCATGGTGACAGGTATCAAAGTTTCCTTTTATAAAAATAAAAAGTCTGTGATGTTTCTGTTCAAAACAATTAAAATAGTTATTAGAACTACGGAAAATGTGTAAAATATGTAAAAAGTAAAAATCAGTACTAGACTTAAGAGAACATTTTAGCCTTGGTAACATTACAAGGAGAGGTGCTGGTGCGGTGTTGACATGTGGCCTCTCACCTGGCCAGAACCTGGAGGAGCTGGTTGTGTCGGACGGCAGTGAGGGTGAAATCTGGCAGGATGGCCAGCAGGTTGGTCAGCAGGTTACAGTGGGCCGTCATGAGGTCGGGGGTCACCATGATGATGGGTTCCAGGGCTGAGGGCTCGCCTGGCTGGGAGTCCTGCGAGGTGAGCGAGTTGCTTGTGTCTCTATCGCTCTGGCCTGTGAGCCACGTCAAAAACACTTTGTGTGAATCACAGCTCAGTCTGCCTTGATTACAAAATCAAAAGCATCAAACCAAAGTAAAGGAAAAAGCCCAAAGTTTTTTTTCTAAGCTGAATATTTACGAGTGAATTGAGTTTAGAGCTGTTGCTGACCACATTGAGGTTCACAGTTTCCAAGGGTAAATAGTGTAAATGTTTATGTGGCATGAAAACCATAAACGCATGTGCACACTTGTACACACAGATGTTTCACTCTGTGGTACCTTGAGCCATCAGTCTGCTGGCAGCTGGAGTTTCATTTGTGATGCTCGATGGGGAGGAAACCTTAGGAGTGTTTGGTCCTGAACCTCTGATCTGCAACAGAGAAAAAAAAGGAAAACTCTTAAGATCCACTTGTTTTAACAAAGTGAAACTATGACAATTTACTTTTTAGTTGGATTAGTGTTAAAGCAACTAAAAAATGCAACCGTCAAACAGTATGGGTTTGTATTTATMTGTTGGTTAGGTCAGTGCAGACGGGCTCTCACAACAAGTTTGGTGGGAGATCTTAAAAAATGGTTTTTGTACCATAAATCAGCAGATTACAACATTACAACAGATCTGTACACATTTTCTTAATATTTCTCTTATTTTTATTGTACATTGTTTATGTGTACATAAGTGTGCTTATTTTGTAATCCTGGGTGTTTATACTTATTTTATTCTAGTGTGCTTATGTCTTTCCTTCCACATTTCTCTGATCTGAACGGTTGCAGCTGTAATACCTGTAATTTCCCTCAGGGATCAATAAAGTTTTCTGATTCTGATTACTACAGCATTATGGCAAAATACATAATATGCCTTTACTTTGATGCTAATATCAGTGATTTTGCTCATTGATGAAAACAAAATTGGTAATTTTGCCTTTATTCAATTTATAGATCCTCAAATTACAGGAAAATAAACCTTGGTTCACATTTATCAGCTGTGTTCTTCATCAAACCATACCAGACTGACCTCAGTGCTGGAGGTGGAAAGAGAGCTGGAAGGTCGTCCAGAGCTGATGCTGGGTGGTGGATCCCATCTCCAAAACAACAAAGAATTCTCCGAATCTAGAAGAGGATACGCACAATAACACAAAATACTACAATAACAAGATAATAAAAAGTAATTCTAACGTTGTTTCCTTTTCTGAAACCCATCATAAAGGTTTTAATAAGGGCTTACCAGTCRAAGTGCTCTCCTGAAGAGGGGAGCCACTGCTACCAGCAGCCCGAGGCTGAAACAGGAAAGTGTATCTGCCGCGGTAACACTTCGACGCAGAGAGCGCCACATTTTGGAAATAATGACAGTGGTAAAGCAGAGCTTGTAGCGCAGGGAGACCCACCACAGACACACCAGACACCTCATCGTGGACACACGGGTGCTGAAAGAGACAAAAGTGACGATAAACTTCAGTGAAATTTGACGCAAAATCACATTTTTACTGTACTAAATGTGCAAGGGGAATAGGAACAGATAAAAGCTATATGTTAAGTTTTAACATTAATGTCACTACATCTACAGGATGACATTTGTGTCCTAGATTTTTRTGTCTTTTTCCTAGCTAGTCCCTGCACAGCTTATTTCAAAATCCTTCTCCTTTTGTTGTTCTTCTCACTCAGTTCTCTACTTCTTTCTGCATCGTCGTCAGTAAATACTTCAGTCTTACAGCTCCCTTACCAGGTATCTGATTCCTAAATTAGAATGCTTCTGGTGTTTCAACGGAGAAACTTAATTAATTTGGAAGAGAAAGCTGTATGCCTGCACTTCAGCACAGCTCCAACTCAGCAACACCCCTGATCTAAGCTCAACAAGAGATTCCTCTCTCAGCAAAAGAGACCAGGAAGGTTAGCTTTGGAAAGGAGGAATGGGGAATGGATCCAAAAGGAGAAAAAAAAACATGAAAAAATAAAAAAATAAAAGGTTCACGGTCTGTAAAAGCTTTTTAAACTGGCAGGCAGATCTGCTGACCTGCCAGTGGGAGTCCTTGGCCTCCTCTGCGTTGGCAGGCATAGGCATCACCAGCAAGTTCTGCAAGATAAACGCAGCCTACACACACACACACACACACACACACACACACACACACACACAC